TTTTTTGTGTGTATACAATGTTTTGTTTATTTTTTTGGCCATTAAAAAAACTGAAGTATAATTAATTTACAATGTTATGTTACTTTTGGGTATACAGCAAAGTGATTCAGTTATGTATGTATACATACACACATGTTTTTTGGATTCTTTTCCATTATAGGTTATTAAAAGATGTTGAATATAGTTCCTTATGCTATACAGTGGGACCTTTTGTTTGTTTGTAGTATATATATATATATATATACACACTCACATATATATATATATACATGTTAATCGCAAACTCCTCCAAAAATACATTTATTTATTTAGAATAGTTTTAGGTTTACAGAAAAAATGAGCAGGAAGTACAGACAGATCACATACATCCCTCCTCTCCCCCTTGCACAGAGTTTCCCTCATTATAGACATTCTGCATTTGGTGGTGCAGCTTGGTTTCAATACTGCATTTAGTTCCTTTCACAGTCGTCCTTAACACCCTTCGCTCTTACTTTAACTCGAGGTCTCCTGGAAGCTGACCTTAAGACAATGATTAGAACTCAGTGGTCACTTGTGGAGAAAGGAAATATTGATTGGGGTGTAGGAAGTGAGATGGAAGAAGGAGAGATTGCTGATAAAAGGTGAGTGTTGGAGCTTATGACACTACAGGCTCCTGAAGCTTGATTCAGCTGTGGGAACCCAGGAGGATGAAGTGGAGGGACCCTCTCAAAGAGTGAGGAAGCAGGGACTGATGCCCCAACTCCCACTGGTCAGGTCTTCAAGCAGATTGAGGCAAATTCTGACTATTGAAAGGCAGTGTGTGTGTGTGCGTGCGAAGTCACTTCAGTCGTGTCCAGCTCTTTGCGATCCCATGGACTCTAACCCACGAGGTTCCTCTGTCTATAGGATTCTCCAGGCAAGAGTAATGGAGTGGGTTTTCATGCCCTTCTCTAGGGGATCTTTCAGACCCAGGGATTGAACCCACATCTCTTATGTCTCCTGCATTGTCTGGTGGGTTCTTTACCACTAGCGCCACCTGGGAAGCCCGCAGAAAGGCAGTAGACTTCCCTAACGCCCAGTGAACATGGTAGGACGAGGGACCTGGTAGGACCTAACCATCTGCTGTGTTCCTCTTCCCTGCAGCCCGCTCCCCAACCTCAGATCCTCCTGGTCACAATCCAAGGCTGGCTGAGATTGTGTCTCTCTCTAATCACCAGGGCAGTGAGCTGTTCGAACAGAGTGATATCTACAATGGTAGCAGAACCTGAGAGTGGGTGGGTGGGTCGGTTCTGCCATAGCATCACGGGGCCACCAGGCACCAAACTTTTCAAGGGGGAGAATGATTTTTAAAGAAAAAATTTTTTCCAAGTTTAATCGTATATGATCACTTGAAACCATGAAAAAGACAGAGACAGAAAAAAAGAAGATCTTTTTGTTGTTGTTGTTGTTTATTCTGATCATATTCCCTGGGAGATTTAGAATGATTTCTACCAAAGCCAGATATCTACAGTCTTCTCTAGAAATTGCTTCTCCAGCACTGCTTTCACTGAAATTAAAGACAGAGAAACACGAGTACAGATGATGGAGTAAAAGGAAATTGTCTGTGAAAACCGCTGACTGTAGATGCCACATAAAACAGCAGGGCTAATGTCATGCTGGTGGGATGCATTAGCCCTCACAATTCGGAAGTCCTTATGTGTATCAACATTTCATCTAGAGCATGTTCACCCCTGTAAAGCCCCAGGCCATGATGACTTCCTGTTACCTTAGATATTTTGCAGTTTAACTATTTTTACCAAAGTTCTCTAGTTTATTGGTCCCAATCAACTTTTAAAATTGCCTGATGAAATAGAATTTATCTTTCAAAATCCTAGTTCATTAGGCACTTTTCTGTGAAGCCTTCTCTGACCTCCTTCACCCACATCCAGCAGAATGAATCTTTTATGCCTTGTATCTGTTAGGGAGGCACATGGTTGCAAGTACAGAAATCCCAACTAATGGGGACCGAGGCAAATAGGAGATTCATTTTATCACCTACTAAGAAGTACAGAGGCAGGTGGTTTCTGGCATTAGATCAACTGGTGAATAGCATTCTTCAGGGCTTTGGTACCCTTAGCATGTTGATATGTATTGTCATGTTTATTGTCTCATGGTCACAGAATGGCTGCTGACACTCTAGACATCACATCTGAGTTCAAGGCAAGAAGAAAGGGTGACTTTACTTGAATCTGTCCCTTATTCCTATTGCCCAAAATTGTGTGAGTGGTCATGGCTAGTTCCAGGGAGGCTAGAAAAGCTGAATATATAGTCACTCAGAATAAGAAACTTTAAATTTCTTGGAAGTTACTTCTTGTTATTATTGTTTTCACTATGGCTCTTTTCATCACCTTGGCTGTAGCTGTTAAGCTGTTGCCACAATAGTGCTGTATAACAAGTGACCTGAAAACCTCAACAACATACAACAATAAAAATTTATTTAGCTTGCGGGTGTTCGGGGTTCAGCAGAACTGGGTTGAGCTTGGTCAGTCTCAGCTGAGACAGCAGGGATGACTGGGACATGTCTTGGCTTTTGTTTTTTCCATTTGCTCCTTTCCAGCAGCCACAGAAGCTAACTAGAAAGCGTGGTGGGGTTCATGCTGAAGGCTAGCAAGCTCAGGATAGTCTCTCAAGGTCACACAGCTTGGAAGTGTCAAGTCCAGGACTGGGTGCAAGGTCCTTGACCCCATCCTGGGCTTTCTCCAAGGCTGCGGGCTGCCTCTTCCAGCAGTCACTGTGCCAGGCATGCTCCTTGGCCACTTCCCTGAACAGCTTCAGAAGACGACACCAGCTACTATTTGAGCGCTCCCATCTTGGAACCTTTTCACTCCAGACAAACCTGGCCCTCATTCTGGGCAAACCTGGAACAGGATAGTGAGGAACATGTGAAGGACATAGCTGCCTCCCTTCTCTTGAAGATACATAAACCTGAAACATGACCCATGGTCCCTGGCAGCATGTGGGTCGGTGTCTGAGTAGAGATGTCCTGATGCATTCCAGGGAAGAAAAGCCCTTGTGGTCTGATACTGGAGCTGCAGCTCACACAGGTGACCCCCTCCCCCAGACATCTTCACTCATCGTCTTTAGAGCATGACCCGCATTCACCTGCCTTGCTTGCTGTAGCTGAGCCGCAGTTTCCACTGGCCTAGGCTCCACGTGGGCAGTCCCAGGGTATTGGGCCGGCTCAACCTTTTTTGAGATTTCCAGTCTGTCTTGTATTTTGCAGTGCATCTTGTAAAAATAATAACATTAAAGACCATTATCCAACAACTCCCCATCTGGAAGCTTATCCTAGAAATGCAAAAGGATATATGCTTAAAGATTTTTTTTTTAATTGCAACACTGTTTATGGTCCATTCATTTATAGAAGAAAAGAGAGATTCACTCCAAATACAGAGGTAGCAAGAGTTTACTCATGTTCTTGCTGATCACGTTTATTCTTGTGTATAAATGGTATATTTATGTGAACATGCAGTCAAAATAAACCTTTTCAAATATAAATAAATAAGGACATCAGTGGCTCTGATGGGCAGCCCCCAAAAGTGGCTGACTAGGATTCTGAAACTGTCCCTCCCTCAGTGTGGCTGGCGAAGGCAGTCATTAGTAAGTGAGCTGAAATAGGAAGCGGAGATGGGGCAGAAATCAAAAACGACCTCTGAGTGGGGTGACAATGGCCCTGTGGGAAGGCTTGGAGAGGATCCTTGGAGAAGTTAAGATGTCCTCTGTGGTGTCTGGGAGATGGGTCAGTAACCCCCTGCCTCCCATGTGAGTTAGGAGAGCTGAGACTACCAGAACTTGCCTTAATTCCTGGCCTGACAAAGAGGGGCAAATATTATTAATAACGGTGGTATTGTTATCATTGTAAATGATGATATTATATTATCTCCTTTGGAAATACAGGAATGATCAAATTAATCCCCAAATGCCTCATTCTCTAAAGTATTTGGACCAGTGCGTTGATAAAATCATCCATGTCACCACTTCCAATACGTCCTTTGCATCTTCAAGTTTGACTTTGTACATTTGTTTTGTTCCCTTATACTATTTTATTATTATTATTATTATTATTAATGGTAGACCTTTTAGAGCAGTTTTAGGTTCACAGCATAATTGAACAGAAGGTACAGAGTTCCTTCATCCCCCTGACCCTGACACACACAGCACCCCATCAATATCTTGTTCTGCTTTGTTTGTTCTCACAGTGGGAACCTGACTTCTAGTGGGTAACATAGCAAAGAGTTGGAAGAGAGTTTCTTGTAAGCAAAGTGGCAGGCTGCCCTCTGATGCCAGGAAGTACTCTGAGCTGGAAAGAAGCCCATGGCCTTGCAGGCCCCTAGGTGTCCAGAGGAGCCTTGTCACAGAGTATCTGTGGGTGGGTGTCCTACCTCACACTGCCTCGGGCATGGAACTAACTTAGTTTTCAGTAGGTTTCACCCTTGAAAGCACAGAGAGCCTGGCAAATCTGCTCATTTCTTGTCCTAATCCAAGTGTTGGCACTGCTGTGCGTTAGACGAAGCTTCTTACCTCGAGGAAGATCAACACATAATATTGGAACATGGTCTTGGAGAGAGAGAGTTTATGGACTTGTAAGAGGCATTGGGGTTTTAGCCTGTTGTACATAAAATAGATCAAGAAAAACAAAGCAGAATATGGGGAATGGGGAGGGCCTTTTGCTTAGATTGGCATTAACCCAAAGGCCCTAAGTACATGGAGGACTGAGGCAAGGTGATCTGGAGGGAACGTGTTCTGGGCAGTGGGAACAGCAAGTGCAAAGGCCCTGGGGCAGCATCCATGGCACACTTGGGGATCTAGGTGGTGGACAAGGTGAGCATGTGATAGGTGGCAGGCATTGCAAAGACTTGGTACATAGTATAAGCTGCTGAATTAATGAAGACAGGATGTTCTTGAAGCAGAGGGTGGCCTGACCCTCACCCCAGGGGCTCTGCCCTGACTCTGACTTTAACCCCTTCTCTCCTCTCTTCCAGGCCATGTACATGTTCTACGCGCTGGCCATTGTGTGTGACGACTTCTTCGTCCCCTCCTTGGAAAAGATCTGTGAGGTACATGTTTGAGCCCTGAAACTGTTCCAGCCTCCTCCACTGAGGTCCTGAGGAGCCCTACATGCTGCCGGGCAGGAAGGCCAGGCACCAGCATGCTTCAGAGCCATGAAGTGGTAGCCCAGAGACTCACCGGTCTGCTTAGAGTTTCGGTGTGCCCATGCATGCTGTTTTGGGTAGTGCTTAGTCGCTCAGTAGTGTCCAACTCTTTGAGACCCCATGATTGTTGCCCGCTAGGCTCTTCTGTCCATGGGGATTCTCCAGGCAAGAATACTAGAGTGGATAGCCTTTCCCTTTTCCAGGGGATCTTCCCAACCCAGGGATCAAACCCAGTTATCCCGCATTGCAAGCAGATTCTTTCCCATTGAGCCACCAGGGAAGCCCAAAAATAGCCTATCCCTTTTCCAGGGGATCTTCCTGATCCAAGGAATCGAACTAGGATCTCCTGCATTGCAGGCAGATTCTTTATCAGCTGAGCTACCAGAGAAGCCCATGCCGATCCTTAGCTGGGCTTTAACCCTTCCGGCCAGCTCTCCCTGCACCATTTGGCGTAACTCGAAATGCAGTTTGTGTTCTGTTCCCACTTTCTTTTTCTTTTAAGTCTCACTCTTCCTTCCTCCTTCCTCCACCTTCCTCCCCTCCCTTTCATTCTGCTGCTATAACCCTCCCTCATGATTCATGGGGTCCTCGAAGAATGAGAAGTCTTCAGCCACACCTCCACCACACTTCCTCTCTGTGCATGTGCAGAAATACTGCAAGCAGGGTCCCCCAAAAGCAAGACAATGAAAAAACTGGCTGCAGAGATCAGGAAAGGGTCTCTTCAAAGTCAGCCCAGGGGACGCCAGGGCCGATTATATCCCTTTCATCTGAAAATATTTAGCATATCCAGAGCTCTTTCAATTCTCTTGCTTCTTTCATCTCTTTTTCAGATTTGAAACGTAGTTTTCTTTATCTGGAAGCTTTCTGCTTTATTTTTAATTCAGAATCCCGTTTTCAGAAAGTGTCTGTCTCCCAGGTGCACCTCCTGTCTGTCTGGAATCCTTGTTCCTTCACGTTGCCCTCAGCCTGGACTGTCCCTCCCCCCCACTGTGTCTGAGTCACTGGGTCTTGGGGGACAGTGGGGAACAGAAGTTACATTTCCAGTAAGTTCCCAGGAGATGTGCTGGTCTGGAAGCCACACTTGAGAACTACTAGCTTAAGCAGTTTCTTCCACCTCCTGAGTCAGTTAGTTTTGTGTACTTGAAAGAGAATCATCCCACAGCAATCCTAGAGAGACCCCAGGAGTGGGTTCCTCTGTACAGTGGAGGTGGGAGAAGGGAAGTGAGAGAGCTGGTTTCTGAGATGGATTGATGGCCAGTGTGGAAGCCTTTTGTCCAAAGCAATTTAACCTGAGAACAGGGTCACCTGGTGGAGAAGAGGGGGAGGCACTGAAGTACCAGTAATCAGGGTCATCTGTGGTCTCTGAAATCCACCAGGAGCAGTTTAGTCCTCATACAAAGCCAACCACTCTCTTTACTACACATTGTTTAATAGCCAAGTTAAGACCTGGTGCTGCAAATGGTACGTGCAATTGTGCAGAATGTGTTCTCCTCCACTGGGGACACACATGGCACCTGTGAGCACAGCCCTTGGGGAGGAATCAAGGTGAAATGTGGGTGTGATCCTGGCCATCAGGGGCCTGGGGCTCAGAGAAGCTCCAGAGTGAGACCCGGGGACAGGTGAAGTGCTGGAGCTGGAGATGCAGAGAAGAGGGAGTTGACTCACCTTGAGATCAGGGAAGCGCTTCTGCAGGGGCAGGACGGGAGCAGCGGTCTCCGTGGCAGTGTCTTACAAGGACAGATATGTAAGCCAAGAGTCCGAGCAAGACAACTGAGCTGGGAGACCCAGGGACAAGACTCAGTGTGTGGGGAGCCCTGAGGATGCCCGGCCCAGACATAGGAGTTTCTCAGGAGGAAGCTGGAAAGCTTTTGATGACTGTTCTGATGGATGGAGAGGGTCCCAAGGCAGGAAGTGCTCCCCCAACCAGCTGGTGATGCCAGGACCCAGTGAGATGTGGCCAGAGCTGACGTGAATGAGGGGTGAAAGAGGAGGGGAGGTCCAGGAGGAAGAAGCAATGTGATGAATGAAGCAGAGAGAGGAACAGGACATGTATGAGCCCAGGGGTGGACTCCACAGCTAACGCCCCAGCAGGAGCCCGAGCTGAAGTAGACACTGCAGAGTGAGGCTCACAGCTCCTGGCGAGCTTGGGCAAACCAGCCATGGACCCTGAGCACCGCTGGGGTACCTGCCCAGGGAGACGGGATGCCCGGCCACCCTCGCGGCCACACCTTTCACCTTCAGACAGCTGCGCCTCCGTCTTAGGGTCTTCTCAGAACCACTTGCAAAGTTTACTGTTCAGTCAAGATCCAGGGAACCCAGGTTTCCGGGTCAAAATGTTCAGCAGGGCTCCGCGGCAGCCTCGGACGGGTCAGTGGAGCCAGGGGCCTTCACCGAGGCCGTGCTGCCCCACAATGGCTGAGTGGGGAAGTGCAGCTATGGTGCTGCTGGAAGAGGAACCAGGGTCCCTTAAGCCGGGGTGCCCAAGGGAGCCGCCTATTTACTGACAGCCAGCAGCTTCCTTTCTGGGCCAGGAGTGGATGCAGAAAGGCTCCCCATGCCACCTCCCCACACCACCCAGCCTCAGTTCACATGTCTTCTTGCAAATCACCTTTTGGGTCAGCAAGCAAGGTAACCTGGAGAGCTTGTTGTGTGAATCATCTCGGTGGGGCTCACCATCTCTTTCTACTCATTCTCACTGCCCCCCATTCCCTCTACCCCAGGCTTCAAGGCTGCATTGAGGATGGGTGATCCTCCCCAGCCCCAAATCCTCCATAGCCTCCCAGACTCAAGGCTCAAAAACTGGTTACCATGAGCCTAATTTAGCCCGAGAACATCAGCAAGATAGTGAAGAAAGTCAGAATCTTTTACATAAAAATGTGGATTTGGGCATCTCTATAAATAGGAATATTTGGCAACATAGAGGGAACTGAGCTTTTAAAAAGGAGGGAATGGCCCACCCTGCCTCGCAAGACCACTCCGCTCCCCCCATTATTTCTGCAACCCCCAGGCATCTGGCTTGGGATCCTTTGATCTCCTCAGAGCCTTTACTTGGAGGGAGCCTGTAGCCTCCCTAGTGTGGCCCAGCTGGGGCGTAGGGGAAGCTGAGGAGGGACTGAGCTGGGACCTGGGGAGTCACAGTCGCAGCTCTTCCAGGAGAAACCCACTCACCTGTGCTTTTGCTCCCCTGCAGCGCCTGCACCTCAGTGAGGATGTGGCGGGAGCCACATTCATGGCGGCCGGCAGTTCGGCCCCGGAGCTGTTCACGTCGGTCATAGGTAGGTGCCATCCTGAGGAACATCTCAGCTCTGTCCTCCCTGAGGAACGAGGGCTCTGGAAACGGGAGCCCTGAGACCCCAAGGGGCAGAGCACCGGCCTCCCCACCGCTGGAGTGGCTGTTCTCATCTAATTAAAATGGTGTTTTTGCTTTGCATGAATGGGTCCCAGACCCAGTTCCAAAGGTCCTGTGGACAGAGGCTCCAATAGAGATTGGAAAGTTCTCTCCAACCCTCGGCTGTTTCTTGTAGATCCTGAGAACAGTCTAACTAACACTTAAAAAAACTCCCCCACATATACGTGGAATCTAGAAAAACGGCATTGATAAAGACATTTGCAGGCAGGAATAGAGATGCAAATGTCAAGAACAGAGGAGTGTCCATGGGGTGGTGGAAGGAGGAGAGGCTGGGATGAATTGAGAGAGTAGCATTGACATGTATACATATTTGGGTGTAAAGCAGATAGCTAGTGGGAAGCTGCTATATAGCAGAGGGAGCTCAGTTTGATATTCTGTGATGAACTAGAGGGCTGGGATGGGGGCAGGGTGGGAGACTCAAGACAGAGGGGATATATGTATACATATGGCTGACTCACTTTGTATTATGGCAGAAACCAACACAGCATTGTAAAGCAACTATGCTCTGACAGAAAATGAATAAATAAATAAAAATCTCCCCCCACCGCCCCACACCCACTTTGGATACAGCCCACCACAGCAGCCGGCTAACCTCGGTCTGTGTTTCAGGAGTCTTCATCACCAAGGGTGACGTGGGCGTGGGGACCATCGTGGGCTCCGCTGTGTTTAACATTCTGTGCATCATCGGCGTCTGTGGGCTCTTCGCGGGGCAGGTGAGACTCACGCAAAACGTGGCATGGTGAGGCCCTTGTGGAGGTAAGGCAGTGGCCTGTCTCCCTTGAGTGCACCCAAGGGCCAGTGGTCTTGGGTGGGGTGACATGGGGTCTCATGCCTGAGAAGCTGGCCCAGCCAGGACTGGAAACCCAGGCAGCGTGATTTGGTCTCTGGGCCGGTGGATTGTGGAGTTCAAGAGCCATGTGAATAGGTAACCAACCTGCAGATCTGCGGGTGTCACCCTCATTTTGCTGTGTTACTGATCTGAACTGGAATGATGTAAACCAACCTTAGGAGTGGAAATGGACTTAATGGGGTGGAGGGAGAGGAGATGACAGATTGTTTTTCTTCACTTGTCACAGTTTGGGGAGCATTCTCTCTTTTTCTATAAGGATCAAACATTTGACTTCTGTGTCCACTTGAGCTCACTTTGGGGGTCATGAGAGGCTTTGCATACCTGCGTTTTATCTATAGAGACTATTCCACTGCCAGAAGGTGTCATGGGGCCCGTGTGCATCTGGTGTCTGTCTTGGAAAATCTGGAGAAGACACCTGATGTCACCACCATGTAAGGCTGCCGGGCATCTGCAGCCTTGAAGTGGCAGCTGCAGGTTTGCAGCCAACCCCCCTCCTGGCTGGCTCTGATGCCCTAATTTCTTTCGTAGAAAGATTATTCAGAAACACAGTCCTGAGCTCTCTGCCCAAACAGCCAGGACTCCATATCTTCTAGGAAAAGCGACTTCCAGTAGCCCGTGAGGGTCTCCCACTTGCAGTACTGAGGAACCTGGGGACCCCACCAGCCCCCTCGCTATGGAGGAAGGATGCAGGTTCTGCTGGAAATGGCTGATTGGTTTGTAGGGCTAAGGAACTTCCTGCAAACCTTCTCCTACATCCTTTCCCAGATCCTGGCTGGGGGCACCCAGCACCACTGACTCTCATGCGGACCCGAGTCTCAAAGGCCGGCTGCTCCCTGGCACCACTGCCCCCCTTACTGCCTGCTTTTCATTCCCATCATCTTCATACCAAGTGGTTTGTCTGGGTCGCCTGGTTGGTTTGTTGCTTCTGGGTACAGACAGAGGGACACCCTCATCCCATCAGGTTGGCTGAAGAGCCCACAGCTGGATGCTTACTCCCAGAAGGGGCCTCTGGGCAGCTGGGTCCATGTGTGGTGATCAAGTTACACCTGATTCGCTAGACTGGATGTTTTCTTTCTTCATGCTTTCAGTCCGTTGTCTCGTCTTAGATTTTATGGGCCCGCGACATGGTATTTTTTAGCTTGTAAATGTAGTTAGTACCCCCAAAAAGTGAGTGTCCGTCTTTGCCTTTGGGGCTGTTTGTACTTCCCTGGCCCCCACCTATGCTGGCCACCTTCTCATTGCCTCCCGGAGATGAATAGTCACATTCCACAGAGCCCACGGCTGTCAGCACTCTCTTAATTAGCATTGTCACCGTTAGCAGAAGGAGTAGTAGCTCGGCCGGTATTAGTGTTGTCACTAGTTCATTAGTCATTTGTACCTGAAGCTTGATGCAAAGTCAAGCCCAAAGGGGGAGAAATAATGTAAAGAAATGAAACACATGGCTGAAAAGTGCCGAGTAAATGCCACACAATTAATTACATAGGAGGTGGGCTGAATGCACTTATGTTTCATAATTTATTAGCAATGCGGTTAATCACTGGCTTGGTTAGAACACCTGCTGAAAAGACACATTGCTTCCTGAACTTCAGCAAGTGCTGGGATCAGTCACTTCACCCCCCTGGAAGGACCTTGCCAAGCTCCTCTCACATGATCAGGGGAGAAACACCAACCACGATGGTGTTAGAAGAGCCGAGTGGTGATTCCGAGGCTGACCTCCCTCCTGACTCTCCTTGTCCTGTGCCCACTTGGAAAGTTCCAGCTCTCTTTTAAGACCTTTGTAGAACCCCGGAAGTCTTTGCAGAGGGAGAAAAAATGATGTTTCGGAAAGAACATGAGCCCGGGGATCAGATATGCCTGGATCTGAATCCTGGCTCTGCCATTTGCTGGCTATGGAGCCTTGGAGAAGTTATGTCACCTCTCTAAGCTTTAGTGTTCTCATCTGTAGAGTGGGTACAAGGACATCTACCTCTTAGCATCACTGTAAGGATGAAACAGAGCTTGTTCAGCAGTGCTTGGTCCACGTGGTACACACTAGTACAGTCAGACACCATCATCAGCTCTGAGAAGAATAGGGTTCCCTGGGGTCACTGTCCCCAGATTCCACCCTCGGTCACTGCAATAATTTGACCTACCCATTGGCAGAACTTATTAAGAATACAATCTACAAACAATGCTGGAGAGGATGTGGAGAGAAGGGAACCCTCTTGCACAGTTGGTGGGAATCTAAGTTGATACAGCTACCATGGAGAACAATATGTTTAGTCACTAAGTCATGTCCAACTCATTTGTGACCCCATGGGCTGTAGCCTACCAGGCTCCTCTATCCATAGGATTTCCCAAGCAAGAAAACTGGAGTGGAATCCTGGAGTTGCCATTCCCTTCTCCAGGGGATCTTCTCAACCCAGAGATCCATCCCACATCTCCTGCATTGCAGGTGGATTATTTACTGCTAAAACAGTAGGGAAGCCCATGGAGATTTCTTTTAAAACTAGAAGTAAAGCTACCATATGATCCAGCAATACCACTTCTGGGCTTATACCCTGAGAAAACCACAACTGTAAAAGACACATCTACCCCAATGTTCATTGCAGCACTATTTATAATAGCCAGGACATGGAAGCAATCTAGATGTCCATTGACAAGTGAATGGAGAAAGTTGTGGTACATATATATGATGGACTATTACTCAGCCATAAAAAGGAATGAATCTGAGTCAGTTCTAGTGAGGTGGATGAACCCAGAGCCTGTTACACAGAGTGAAGTAAGTCAGGAAGAGAAAAACAAATATCATAGATTAACATTTACATATGGAATCTAGAAAAATGGTACTGATGAACACATTTGCAGGGTAGCAATAGAGACTCAACATAGAGAACAGACTTGTGGACCCAGCAGGGGAAGGAAAGGGTGGGACAAATTGAGAAAGTAGCATTGAAACATGTGCTGTGTGCTTAGTCGCTCAATCATGTCCAACTCTTTGCGACCCCATGGACTATAATGGGGTCCACCAGTCTCCTCTATTCATGGGGATTCTCCAGGCAAGAACACTGGAGTGGGTTGTCATGCCCTCCTTCAGGAGATCTTCCTGACCCAGGAATCAAACTGGGGTCTCCTGCATTGCAGGCGGATTCTTTACCAGCTGAGCCCAAACATACACATTACCATATGTAAAATAGATAACTAATGGGAAGTTGCCGTATGACATAGGGAACTCAACGCAGTAGTCTGTGACAACCTAGAGGGGTGGGATGGGGTGGGAGCGGGAGACAGGCTCAAGAGGGACGGACATATATATACCTATGGCTGACTCATGCTGATGTATGGCAGAAACCACCACAACTTTGTAAAGCAATTATCCTTCAATTTAAAAAAAGTTTAAAAAAAAATCGTTGAACAACCACAGGATGCCAGTGGGGAGGAATGGGAAGGTGGGGGAGAAAATGAGAAGCAAGATGAGGTGTTGGGGATTCCCTGTTGGCCCAAGGGTTAAGAATCTGCCTCCCGATGCAGGGGATGAAGGTTCGATCCCTAGTTGGGAAGCTAAGATCCCAGTGAGTCACAACTCGAGAGTCCGTGCTCCACAGCAAAGGATCCTGCATGACATAGTGATAAGACCGTGTGCTACAGCTAAGACCCGACACCGCCAAATAAGTGAATGAGTACATTAAAAAAGAAAAGATGAGGAGGTGTTAGTAGAAAGACCTCAGAGGACTGGTCCTGGTCCCTGTGCCTTCTGATCGCTGGGAGGAAAACCAACTTCGGTGAGACACAGGTGCTGCCTTATCTACCGAGAAGCGCTCCTGGGCAGTGGAGCTGGGACAGAGGGGTGTGGCAGCACAGGCCGGACTTTGGGAATTGAGCTGATTCATCAATCCAGTCAGGGGGCTCACTTGGCAGCATCATTTACGTTGCTCCGCACTTGCATTTGCGGGGAGAATTACCAGTGTGTGCCTGTGGGCTTCTCTAATGGTATCCTCAGCGTGAAAGGCTGTTCGTGACCGAGTCTGCTCCACATCTGAAATTAAAGTGATTCAGCCATAAGGTTTGAGTTCCTGTCTCAATTAGGGTTTTGATGAATTCGATGTAATTGAATGTCTGCTACATTTGCAGTTTGCGAACATACCCAGCACCTTGGAGTTCACCTAAGGTGCTTTGGGGAGTTCTGTGGGACGAGAAAGAAATTGCTTCTTGGAAAGTAGCTTATGGAAAGGTTCTTGGAATCCTCACAAGACATGTACAGGACTGTGGTCCTAAAGATTTTCTTTATTTAAGAGCAAAACATAATAACAAAGACAGAACACCGAGATCTGGAGGCAACACAGTAATGTATCTTATGTATTGTATTGAAAGAACTGCTGCCAGTTTTGCAAAACAACATACTTGTGAATTTAAATCTCCCATTCAGACTTATGTTAAGCTTTCAAGACATAAGCATAGACAGGCAGTAAACAGTCTAACTGCATCCCAGATGCAGAACTCTCATATTCCGGTTATTACAGGCTGGCAGAGGAGCCCCTTGTTCCACTCCCGGCATCCTAGAAATGTACCTGATGTCCTCTGGTGAGGTCCACCTCCTAGTGGCTGGGTTTGCCTTCCTTCTGTGAACATCTTACTGGCTCCAGACAGGACCCAGAGGTGACATCTCTGAATCAAGACCTGCCTACGTGCGATTGGGTTTCCCCAGAGGAATCTAAACAGCAATTTCAAATTGCTGTTCAAGTAGTTCATGAAATTTCAAATTTCAAATTCAAGTAGTTTATCTAAAAGTTCATCTCAGAGACTTCCCTGGTTAGGTGCTCCAGTGCAGGAGCTGAGGGTTTGATCCCTGGTCAGGGAGCTAGAATCCCACATGCCTCCTGGTCA